GGCGCCAATGATCTCACCTGGTCAGAAAGGTGTCAGTGACCTGCCACACGTCGTGATCTACTGCCTTCACCGGAGTTGTGGAGGAGAAAAATGAGGGTGTACCAGAAAAATACTCTGATGCCTAAGTACCAGAACTAGAGAGAGCAAGTATAGAGAAAATGTGTGTAGAATATAATATCTGACCCTCTAGTGAAAGAGGGTATTTATTATATGACCCCAGTACATGGCCAACAGTTACATTGCATTAGGCCGGATTGCCAAGCCCAACACAAGTAACTGCCAGGGCTTACGTGGCGTAGTGAATACCAGCACGTGGTCTTCGCTCTAGATCAACCGTCCTGTGATCTTCGAGAGGTGGGCTGACCATCTCTTTCGGAAGTGGGTAGTTGCTTGATGACGTGTCCTCGCGTGGGGGACACGTGGAGAACGTGGAAAAAGCGTGTGGGCCTCCTTGTCCAGAGGTCTTCTACCCGGGGATGGGCCTTGTTGAGGCTCCTCCCCGATGTAGGAAATTGGGCATTGTTGGGCCTCATCACAATAGCCTTGGGTTGAGCCTGCCCGGCGGAAGGGCAGGTCCTGGCCCAGTCCAGAACAGGCACCATACAAAAATCTGAAAATGTCCTTCAAATTCTGGAGATGCATCTCCGGACACACCTCATGCATACACAACTCACTTGTTCTTGAACCAAACACCAATCTTATGACTTAATTTATTTCAGAAATGCATTTTTAGAATTTTTTCGGAAATATATTTCTGAAAACTCAATTCAAATTAGGTGGTGGAAAGTCTTGTTCGTAGTCTTGAAAATGAGTTAAGCTTTCGACGGAGAGTGGATATATTTTTCCTTGTTGACACTATTACTTAATATTCTTGAGGTTTGAAAGATAATTGTTTATCTTTTAGTTATCCTTGAATATTTCTAACAAAATAAAACGAAAGAACATATGTATGGGTATCTGTTGGTGTTGAAAAAAACATCAAAATATATGAATTTAGTATATGCTGATGTTTGAAAATATGATTTCCCATACGATGTTGGTGGAGTATATCTAGCTGCTATGTTATGCAAGCAGTCTTTCCATGTCAATTGGCTGCTGTTTCTCCTTTTAGAAATATTGCATCTAAAAATCGTAGGTAGTGTCTTATGGCAAGATGGAATTAAGTTCTGAAAATGTATTACCGGAAAATTTCTGAAAACGAATTTCCAGAATAAATTAAGTCATAAGATTGGGGTTTGATTCAATTAAGAAATCCTATTTTTATGAGCATTTAACTTGACACCCCTCCACCGAGACCTGGCATCCTCCATCGCATATAAAAATACGACACTACCCTGGCAAAATCATTTTCAAAGACTTTGAAAATTAAAGTGCAGAGGTGAAAATTTGAAATCACTGGGGTGATACCAGAAATTTGGAGCATCTACCGGGAATTTTAAACACTGTGAGTATTTATACCGATCATTTTCAAAATTTCTGGTATCTTGTACCGAAAATTTCAAATTTTCTGGTATAAAATCTCATTGAATATACAGAAAATTTCATAATTTCCAATAGTTATAAAAACATAGTTTTGTATCATATATTCCATGGTTTTGTACTGGAAATTTTGAATTTTTTTATATGTGCAAAACATTTGTTTTGTATAAGAAATTATGAAATTTCCAGTAGTTGACAATATATTTCTTAATTTTGTCTTCTTTTGTAGTGAAATATAGAGGTAGAGATGACAGTATTGCAGGGAGAACTGTTGATTGAGCGGAAGACCGGGGTAAGGCTGCTAAGGGTGCTAATCCTGACTCTTCCTAGATAAGGACTGGACGAGTTCCCCCAACTAGTTCACACCAGAAGCGATTGGCTGAGCAGGGCCAACTTTGGGCATCTCGTTGCACTCGACACTAATCGGTACAGTCAGTAGAGTAACCTAGAGATGAGGTGGTGCCATATGTTGATGTTGTTGACCCGGTGGTTAATGAGGTTGTAGATCCTATTGTTGATCCGGTTGTTGATTTGATTATTGAGGAGGTTACTGAAGAGTTTGTCGAGGAGGTTGGTTTGGAGGAGGTTGCTCGAGTGGTCCATCCTGATGTTGTTGTTGCTGATTCGGTTGCATCTGTTACTACTGACACGAAGGTTACGACTCCTTCAACTGAGCCCTTTGTACACACTGATAGAGGATTCCCTAGAAGATCCTTTGACCGGTTGGTGCTTACTAAGTATGTTGGCCATGTGGCGTTACAACTATGGCAGAGCGAGGTATATGTCTTTTATGTTTAACTTTAATTATTGTTTATATTTGTTTGTTACAAGAGCTATCAACTAATTTGTTTATATTTTTTGTCACATGAGTGGCTCACACTAAAGGTGGCATTACACAGGTCAAAGATGAAGGACTTCTCAAAGATTCTGATGCCTGAGCAGGTCAGTCGGATTATACAGAAGTTCTAGCTACTTGGTTTGTCCACTTCTCCCTCACTATGCTTGATGCTCTACTACTTAATGCATTTGTTGAGAGGTGGCTCTAAGAGACATCTTCATTGCATCTTCTTTTTGGGGAGATGACTATCACTCTGAATGATGTCTCCTCATTATTCCATCTTCCCATCGGCGGCAGATTCTGGATGGCTCTCGTTCTTAGCGTGTCCCTTGCATGTCAGAATGTTGCACGAGATTTGGTATTATCTGAGGTGGAGGTACAAAAGGAGTTTAGCATCAACAGGGGCGTCTACCTTCATATATCTTGACTTTGGAAGATATACGATCAACTTGTAGTTGCTGGGAGGTATGAGGCTGCCTCTAGGGTGTACATGCTACATATAGTAGCATGTACTATCTTTGCGGACAAGTATGATGTTTATATCAATGCTTGATACACGTGTCTCTTTAGTAGCCTTGACGACACTAGTTAGGCTTAGGGGTGTGTTGCATTGACCTTTTTGTATACAACCCTTGGAGTGGCGACAATCTTTGAGACCAAACAACTTTTGGCTATTTGAGTTTGTTACAAGTATACTTGAAATAATTATTTGTTGTTGATATATTATTTAATTATTACGAATAAAATTTCTTAGTTATTATTTGATGCATATGTGTTTTGATATCATTGTTGGTTATACGGGCATTTCCCTACCATCCGTGACAGGAGGGTGCAACATTGCTCAGAGGGGTCCTCACAGGCGCAAAGATGGAAGGCTAAGCAGGCACATCCCGATGGTGTTCCTAAGTATACGATGAGGCTCGATGCGCTGACTATAGATGATGTCATGTGGACATCATACACTGGTCATAAAAACCATCGTGAGTTCGAGGAGTCGTCATTATATTCAGGTCATATGTGGTGGGAGACCGTGGTTGCTAGACACTTGCCTGAGAGGTGTATGCGACAATATGGTTATGTTTATAGTATCCCATGACCAGTTTCAGATATACCATCTACAGGTATTGATTGGTGGTTTCAGAGTAACTTCATCAGCTCTGGTCGCGTTCTTAGAGATCAAGCAGTCATTGTTCAGTACCCCTCGTAATGTGAGGATGATTACTTAAAGTGGCACCTCACTGTATCACACCTTCACATCACACCACCTACAGCTGATGCTAGGCCTTCTAATGCTGGGGGTACCTTTTGATGATGTGTTGCTGCCTCCTCCTGCTGATGTCGATGATCAGTAGTGCTTCCGGATGATTGCAGTTATTATGGATAATCTCATGGGTTTGGTAAACCCAAACGGCGAGGTTTATACTAGATTATCTCAGACTGCACACATAGCTCATTGGGGGGCCTATTTAGACGTCTTTTGTATATCATGGATTTGGTTTATTATGTATTATTTGTATATTATTCAGACATCTTCATCATAACTCTTTATTTGCTAATATTTTTGATCTTCCATTAATACAACATCAACATTAATTAACATTTGACAATGGATTACATAACTTAAACATAAATTAAATATAACTTAACAAAAATCTAAAAACTACAAGATGATTAATAAATAAGAAAAACCTAAACACTACTAAATGATTTCAAACGTTTCAGCATCTCTATTATGTCGTCAACAGATCTTGAAAGCTTAACATCTAACTCGATCGACCATTTTGTTATCCAACGGCGGCGAAATGATCTCCACATTTCTTTCATATCTTCATCGGTCTTCAAATCAATAAGATTGTATTTCACCCTCCTGACAGTATCAATCCAATCTTCACGAAACTCGATCTTTCTCACCCTTCTGTTTTCGGCATCAGGCAACAATTCATTCAACTTGGATGTCAGGCCGACAAGAAATATGATGCCATCTGAAACCTGAAACTTTACAAGAGGTGAAACTCCGTTGAAGTACACTTCTACCTTAATAAAAAATTAAGGAAGAGACATTTTTTGAGATGTTTTTATCAAATAACATGTGACCCCCTATTTATACAACTTTGCATTCACTCTGGACTACACAAAATTGTCGGTGCAATCACAACCATTCAAAACTGTCAGCAAAATCCTGAACGTCCAAAAAATCAAACAAATAACACTATCATAAATCTCATTTAGATTGAAATTTCTGATATCAACATGTAAATTTAAAATTGCCAAAACTTACCGAAATTTATCAGAAATTATAAAATTTCCGATATATCAAAAATTTAGAATATACTATTGAAAATTTTGGTCTATATTAAAAATTTTATTAAGTTTATCGAAAATTTTGAACAAAAATTTGAACCATTTTTTAAAGCCAAAAACAGTTTTAATAATATGAAAATATGATATAAGTATAATTTAGGGGTGACAAGTTAATTTCTCTATTTTTATAATACGAAAATTTGGTATTACGATAAGCCCATCAGTAATTTGGGCTCAGCCCGTTAGGCTATGAACACCAACACGTGTTAAACGACATCGTAAAACACACGAACTGTTCTGTGTAATTTTCGCAAACACAGACGAGCCCTAGAACCAGATACTGGATTCACATTCGATTTCCGTGACGAATTCACAAATTGATATGCCCAACAGTTCATCCTCGAAAAAGCACGGTCAAGATCAGCCTGAATCTAGCGGTCCAATCCCTATATCTCTCAGAACCAAAATGGGCAAATCCGAAGACAACGATAAGAAGGTAACCTTGTTTCGATTCAGATAAAATCCCATTATTCAAGTAAAGCTTGAAGCTTTATTCAAATTCGAAGCTTTAATTCGCAACAATCCTTAAAATGAATGTGCAGAGTGTTAAATTTTGTTAATGATTTGGGAATGTGAAGTATAAGAGAAAACGAATTAGCCTAATTTTGATTATATAAGTGTTAACCATTTCTGGGTTTTGTGTAGAGTTCAAGTAAGAAAGTCAAAGATGTTGAAATAAGTGTTCCAATAGTGTATGGGAACATAGCATTTTGGCTTGGCAAAAAAGCTAGTGAGTAAGTATCCTACAAATACAATGCAGCATTCAATTGTTGGTTTTTTCTTCACAAATGAAGTACTGAGGTGACTATGCTTTGTTTATTTAAGGTATCAATCACATAAATGGACTATATATGTTCGTGGAGCAACCAACGAGGACTTGGGGGTTATTGTAAAGCGGGCTGTTTTTCAGTTGCATACTAGTTTCAATAATCCCACAAGGGTTGTGGATGCACCTCCTTTTGAGTTGTCGGAGGCAGGATGGGGAGAATTTGAAATTGCAATCACACTTTATTTCCACAGTGATGTTTGCGACAAGCCTTTGAACTTGTGAGTTGTTTGATATTGCTTTTGATTTAGTAGCTGGTTTGGTTGCCTCTTTATGGGGAAAACCGAGTTTCTTTAGCCTTTTGTTTGATCTTTTGATTCAGTGTTGATGTTCAAAGTATGCTCAAAATGAAAAGTACTATTAAGGGTAGAGAAAGTCTCAAATCTATTATGTTTCAACAGATGACATGTCATCAACAACGTGCTTTGGTTCTAAAATACCACAGTAACGTGCACTGTGGCTCTATGCCCTGCTAAGTTCAGTTAGATAGGCACAATAGTTTGGATAAAAGTATGGTCTTGGATAGAAAATTATGGTGGAAATTGATCCATGTAGTCGATCCCACTTATTGAGATAAGCATTGGTTGTTGTGGCAATTGTTAGTCTGCTAGTAAATGTTAGTGTTGATGTTGTGGGTGAGAATAGAACCCTCAATATTGTAATGGTTTCACTCTTTAACATTCAAGCAATGGAATCATATAAGCTTAGATGATTATACAACTAATATATATTGTGCTATATTTGATTAGAGCATGGAGCTACGTTATTCTAAAGCTTAAATGTTTAATGTTTAATGATACGAAGCATATGATACATGTATACTGCATGGTCATATATCTGGCATTAACTGTTATTTATCATGCAGATTGCAAACCATGTTTTGTCAATATCAAAATAATTTCTGAATCTTGTGCTTTATTGAAGTGTAATATATATACAGATATCATCACTTGAAGTTGTATCCAGAGGATGAAAACAGTTCCATGTCCACAAAGAAGCCTGTTGTTGTGGAATCTTATGACGAGGTTGTTTTCCCCGATCCCTCTGAAGCTTTCTTAGCTCGTCTGCAGAATCACCCAGCTGTGAACTTGCCAAGATTACCTCCTGGGCTTACCTTACCTCCTCCTAGTATGTTACTTTGCACTTACCATAGTCATCTGCAACTTTTATTTTCCACATTTGATTTTAATTAGTGTTATAATCTATAAATGCAGTTCCAGTTGAAGATGCAAGTAAAAGGAGGAAAGGCGATACCAAAGATAATCCCTTAAGCCAATGGTTCCTGAATTTCTCAGAAGCAGATGAACTCTTAAAGCTTGCAGCAGCTCGTCAGCAGGTACGGATGATATAATATAATATCTTATTCAAAAACTTTAAAGTATATAACTTTTTCGGATGTCAAAGTTGTTGTGGAGGCCCTGATGATGCATTTATTTGAATCTGAACCAACAATTTACAACAACTATTTGTTTGCATCCTTTCTAATAACGAAGTTTGTGTCATACATGTGCACCTGTTTGCAGTTTGTAGTTACCATCCTAGAAATATTTATATATGTGTACCTGTTACTGTTAATTAGTCTCCTTGTAGAGAAATTTGATAACATCAAGTTTTATGATTTTGATCAATGGTTATTGCTTATCAAAAACATATTATATGTTTGTATTAGGAGCTCTTTTCTAAGTATTCTCTCAACACTTCAAAACGTATAATCAAGAGTCGTCAATAAAAAATTCAAAATTTCTGTTCTATACTTGAATGTATTTTTTGTTTGCACGATGCGTGTTTGGCCCACGTTTGTGATTATTAGTTAACTTAAAAGAATTAAGCTTTTGTATTATTAGAATAGAACAAACCCTATTTTTCTTAAATATGATTATTGGTTGTGCTGACCTGTGTATGTAATGTTTCTTGTTTGTGTTAGTTTTATTCAAAATATTTCATACTTATCATGTACTATCACTTGTGCTTGTTGATCATTAAAGGATTTGTTTATGACATCAATTATCATCAATTTGTTGTGGATTAGGTAGTTCTAATAATTTTCTATGTAGGACATGAACATTAAGACTGTCTATTGTAATGCTATTTTAAACTAATAATAAATGTGCTTAAAAAAATTTGGTCTCCGTACGGTACGGTAATAGAGACTTTACAGTTTTGTTCCCCACAAAAATTGTTAACTTCTATATCAAGAAATTCTATTTATGATTTTCTGTTTAGAATCCCTCCGTTAAGTGGTGAGGTAGCTGACAGTGACACAATTCTATCTCACTTTAACATATGGTAATTATTTGTCTTTTATTTAAAATTCAAATAGTATTTGTCTCAATAAACCAAAATGTATATTAATAATTTAGCTTTAATAAGGGTGAAAAGTTAGAATTGTCTTTGAATTATTAGTACAAACTTTTCTCAAATAAGGCTATCGGTTATACTGACCTGTGCATGCATGGAATTCTTGTTTGTAACTAAATAATTTAGTTCAATTTCTAAAGAATGAGGATAGCTAGCAGGTAGTAACTGAGGGGCGATCAGGGAGAAGATAGAAAAGATGGTTTATATGCAAATGAGCTTTTTTTTCCAGTTTTATTTAATAGATTTCTTGTACTATCACCTCACTTGTGCTTGTTTTTCATTTAGGGATTTGCTTTTTAACATGATTTATTCCAGTTTCATGTAATACCGTACTATATCACCTGTGCTTGTTCATTATTAAAGGATTTGCTTCTCACATCCATTATTATTATCACCTGTGGGTCGGTCATGTTTGTTCTAATAATTTCTATGCCGGGCAGGTGGGGTATGAATATTCTGAATTCTTATCATACCAAAAATGTTTAGTTATGCTGTGATGAAAATTGATTTTGAATGAATTGAATATGTAAAATTGATTATGGCTAAAAGTTAGATGAAGATGAAGTGAATTAATTATGTTTGGGTAGATTCGTGCAAAAGTGAGTTGAATAGTAAATTTCAGTGTAAATATTACATTTAGACTAAAGCTGCAAATTTTTCTTTCAAGTAGAATCAATTGATTCTACTTAAAGGAAATCAAATATGTTAGAATCAGTTCAACACATAAAATCACTTGTCTCTTTCAAAAGTCGAACCAAACTCTCTATGTTGTCCTTTTCCTTGTATTTTTCCAATACGTTGTTGATTGCTCGAGTTATGGTGCATTTGGGTATACAATGTAATATAAGCACAAATGTATAAGTTATTTCTATAAAGAAGAAAGTTGGTTAAACTACTTTCATATAAGGTGTAAGCTGTTTTCATAAGCTATTATGTGTATCTTGTTGAAATAAGTTGAAAATAGTGTATGGATATCATAAACTATTTTTCATGAGTTACGTCAAACACTTACACAAGGGTTTATGTCATAAGATAAGCCCGAATAAGCTACTTAATGTGACTTGTGTATCCCCGTTTTTCTAAGTTGTAAGGTGCCGAATCCTACTTCCTTGCTGGCTGTTGTTAAATATCTGCTATAGCGAGTGTAGCGGAGTTCCAACAAACAACCATTGTTCTGCAATATGCTATTTAGTAAAATGTTGTCAAATCTTTGCTATAGCAATCCGAAATTGGGAATATGCTTTACTTTTTTCCAAGACTTTGAATATTCGTATAATCTTAACCTTGTAACAAAATTGTGTTGCCAACTGATAGTTATTTCATACTTTCCATGACAGGTTCAAACTCATATTTCAAAACTCAAACGACAGATAACTTCGATAGATGGACAACATAAGCAGCAGCCGCTTAAATCTTCTTCTGACCAATAGATATACAATTAGGACTTTGAGGTTTATTTTCTAATTACTCAGAATGCTGTTGAATGGTTGATTAAATCATCCTCATCAGCAAGCTATTTCTTCAGTTGTAATGTAGTAATTCATTTCATTTTTGTCCGTGGCGTTAAAATTGTATAAGATTAATTCATTTTCCTTTGCCAAATTAGATTAACAAATTCAATCTGTCTCTTTTGTTAACTATAAATATACATTCAATATAGCTGTTATATCATATTGACATAAACTGAGCAATAAATATACTTGTGGTTGAGATAGTTTGAAGTTAAGTAAAGTACCATTATTTTCAGCTGTTCAATTTTGGTGAGTTTTGTAATGCCACAAGTGAGGTTCATATGTCGATGTTCTTCTATGTAGGTGCAATGAGAAGACCAAGATTTACAAGTAGACAGTAGGTACAACAATGTATGGATGTTAATTGTTCACCAAGGGAGGGCCCTTTTTATTGAGGCAAGGAGTGAGTTCAGGAAAGGCCCTTTAGTACTCTGGCTAGTACATGGAACAATAATCAAGGGACCTACTTTCCCACCTCTCTTAAAAACCTCCTGTAGTTTTGGAAGTTAACTTGTAGTCCACACAATTGTTTTTGGTCTAGTGGTCTAGTGAATAAATTAGATGTGGTGAGTTTGAATCTCCACCATTGCAATTGAATATTTCTGCATGGCTATAAACCGGGCTATCTTAGGGCTAACTTACCATATGTTCGCACAAATTATTCTTAAGTGTAATTTTGAAGGACACAACTTGTGCTTGACAGTGAAAAAGATTTTTGATTTCATGTCAGTTACAACACTTCCAATCGTACCTTTCAATTGTACGATTGAGATTCATTTATTGCGTGAAACTCAACTTATATTTGACGGTGCGAAAAGTTTTTGAACTCATGACAGTTACACCTTCCAATCATACAATTGAAATTGATTTATTGCGTGAAACCTGATTTAAAATTTGAATTTGGCCTTAGGTTCTGCATTTGTTGTGAAGGAGGCTTCCACTTATTATACATTAATATTTTTGGTTAGAAACCAAAAGAAGAAATCACTCTATGGAAATTGTTGTTTACTGCTTAAGTTTTGTGACAGAGGCTTAAGTTAATTGGATAGGGATGAGTCCTAACATAACTGGAAGTTTGGAACAGACAAAAATATAATTGAGGCAACTACCATCTTAATTATAACTCAATTATTGCTAATCATAGTCAGAGTAGTACTAACTTGAATGATCTCATGAAAAGTCTTCATATTGCACTTTTTTTAAATGTCTTGATGAAGACTTGCATGGAATTTATGGATTGATAGAAATTTGTTGATGATCAACTTCTTTGATTATTGTAAAAAGGAGAAGCTACAAATTAATACCAACTTTTTAGATAAAATAGTTCTAAATCCTCAAATTTAACAATATTGTCAATAATATGACACTAGTTAAACTAAAATTGCCGTGAACATTTCAATATAAAGAGTTGGTCGGTGTCAGACACACAGATACTAAGATTAAGTTATGAAAGGACTCGAGATATCATTACATTGGACTTTGAATAATTATATAGATAAAATTGAACACATTCACATCCAAAACCCTGATGAATTGTATATTAATCAACACCCTAATGTCTTATCTTTTAAATGATTGAGATTGAGGCATTGTTAACAATCACATGTGACAATTAGTTAATTTTACATAAAAACATTTCCATCTTTACATTACATCCCCACCATATCACTAGCAAGAACTCCATCCAATTATAGAAAAACCTTCATGTGTTGCGTTAAACACTCCAAATTTGATTCAACATGTTTTCAGATGACATCAACAGAAAATAACAAAAACAGAAACTCATGACACAGTTCACATTTTCACATTACACTATAGCAAGATAGAGTAGACTAGACATAGGTGTTTTCACATTGTTGGAATGATCAAATCTTAACAGGTCAATTTTGGGAGGCAAGAGTAACATGGCCTTCATGTGCCAAATAAAGGTTAAGTCACAATCAATTTAAAAGAACATCCTTTCCTTGATTTGATCATAACAACACCATATTTTGGTAAAATTTGTGGGCCATAAAACTCTATCCCAACCTCTAAATTGATCTATTTCTCCAACTAATCTTATTCACAGAACATGATGAGTCTATTCGAGGAATACGACGTACAAATTATCTGGTTACATATGTGTGTACCTTACATTGTAGTATGTTACAAATTTGTAATGTCCTACAATCTCAAGAGCCTCTTGTTATAACTATCCTTTTGTTTTTTACCTTTGTTTTTATCTACCTTATCTGAGTCACAGAATTTATTCTTATGGGATCACTTTCTGAGTTTCTGTTGGAGCTTTGGAAATTTAAACATGTTACTGCAGAGTAACAATATATAGTGGTGTGAAATTGCTTTGAATTTAATGATGTGTTGTTTTGCTTCTGGTATCTAGTGGTTGTGATTCAGGCAGGAGGACCACATGGGAAGCTCTGTCTTGTTGAAAAACTTATTTCTGTGGGCATTAACCATTGTTTATATATATATATATATATATATATATATATATATATATATATATATATATATATATATATATATATATATATATATATATATATATATATATATATATATATATATATATATATATATATATATATATATATATATATATATATATATATATATATATATATATATATATATATATATATATATATATATATATATATATATATATATATATATATATATATATATATATATATATATATATATATATATATATATATATATATATATATATATATATATATATATATATATATATATATATATATATATATATATATATATATATATATATATATATATATATATATATATATATATATATATATATATATATATATATATATATATATATATATATATATATATATATATATAAAGTGAGGATCAACTTACTCAAAAAATAAGTGATCTAACCTGATGGATCAGAACGTGGCTGGTAACACTTCTACAGCAACAACGGTCAGCAAAGGTGGATGAAGAGGGGGGTACATGTTGACACTCTGACGCTCAAGTTCAGGCGAAGTGATAGCAAGTAAAGCAAGGAATAAAATTGAATATCTGACTCTCCTTTCGAGGAGGATATTTATAGAGAGCCCCCAGGCGGATCAGAACATGGCCGATAACACTTTTACAACAGCAACGGTATGCAAAGATGGATGGAGAGGGGAAGGGGGTTTACCTGCAGACACTCTGACGCTCAAGTAAGTTCAGGCGAAGTGATAGCAAGTAAAACAAGGAATAAAATTGAATACCTGACCCTCCTTCAGAGAAGGGTATTTATAGGGAGCCTTCAGCGCTGGGCCAACAGTCTCCATTATGAGCTGAGTGATTAGGCCCATAATGGATGACTGCCAGGATTCCTATGTGAAGGTAGGGATGAGCAGTTCGTACTCATCATCCTGAGTCAACTGCTCCGCATTCTCTAGAAAGTGGAAGACTTTCCCGTTACGAAGGGCATAACATTTCCGCGAGATACGCAGGATCAGTTGGCCACGTGTCTTCCTGTAAGGAGCACGCGAGGAATGTGTTCTCCAACGACAATAATAGATTGGGCCTTTGCATTAGGCATTCTTCAACGCGGAGCTGGACTTTCCTGAGCCCGACAGTGGGACAATCCCAAGTCCAGTCCAGAAGAGGAGCCCCCAAGTCATTGCTCTAAGGCAGGGAAGTAATGACTTAGAGTCAGTTCGTATTTCGAAGAGGGACAAAGAAAATATGCGCGAGGAGAGCGCTTATTCGGATTTGTGGCTGCGAGCTCGTGGAGCTACGCTCGCAAGGGAGCGTGAAAGTTATCCCTCGTGCCCAACAACGCAAGTCTGTTAACAGTTTTCATTGAGTTTTTGCTCGCGGGGGATGCTAAGTAGCCGCTTATGCTTGACAACGTGATCCTGCTTCGAGTTTATCACCGAGGCTATGTGCTCGTAAGGATTTCAAATTTGTTGTCTATGTAAGAGCAAGAATTGTCTCTACATGTTATCTCTATGTTTTGATGATAACAATTAAGTATTTGTGAAAGAACCATTTTATGTTCTAATGTTTGTTGTATGCAAATCATTAAATAAAGATATCAAATCACCCTATTCGCGGCTTCGGCCTGCCTGTTTATTTGTGGGTGCTCGACCAAAGTGAAATGTTGTTTAGTGCCTAGCTTAGCGACGAACCCTGGAAGTTTTTGTCAGTGAACTGTGTCTCGTTATAGGTGACGATCGCTTGTGGTACGCTGAACAGGGCGAGCATGTTTCTCTTGTAGAAACAAAGTATATTGTGTGGAGTGATTTTGGCGAGGGCCTCTGCCTCTATCCACTTTGTTAAATAGTCAATGTTGATTATCAGGTATGACCCTGTGGTAAAAGGTCTGAGGATATCCATTCCCCACCAGACGAATGGCCATGGGGACGAGAGGGTTTTGAGCTCGTTGGGCGATGCCAAATGCATGTCCCTGTGATGCTGGCATTTATCCCACTTTTTGACGTGTTCTTTCGCATCGTGCTGCATGGTAGGCCAACAATATCCTACTCGCAGAGCCTTCCGGGCGAGGGATCTCCCCCCGAGGTGTTGAGCGTTGATTCCTTCATGGATCTCGTGTAGGATATGGCCGATCTTGAAATCCTCGACATACTTAAGGATAGGGATGAAGAATCCTCGTCTGTATATCTTGTCCTCGATAAGGAAGTAGGCACAAGCTCGATGTCTCGTTACGCTAGCCTCTTTCTGGTCGGGGTAGTTCCCCTGTTGTGAGGTAGTTGTAGACCGAGGTCATCCAGTAGTCACTATCACTAATGGCATTCACGTCGAGAATCGCGGATGGTTTCTCGATGCTCGGGTGGGAAAATATCTCCTGGATGACAGGCTTGTTCTCGCCCTTCTTCTTCGTGCTCGCAAGTTTGGACAAGATGTATGCCCGAGTGTTGTGCTTG